AAGCCAGACTGATTTAAAAGCATGGTCCATTACTTTTTGCACACAGCACAGTAAGCAAGGCACTATAAGCAGAATTGAAAAAAGAATAAAAATACAATAATACGTAGAATTATTTATTAATTACATAGCCAAGAATACCTAATACAGGCAATAATACATAATGCCAAAGCATACAAAGTCCTTGAGACAGCCTGTTATTCCCCAGGATTTTAGCCACTCATCAAAAGAATTCTAAACAACTGTCAGCTTTTTCACATTCTNCCCCCCGAAAGAGACTTTCTGATTTTGTCATCTTTCTCAAAGCGGTGTCATCGGGTATTGTTCATTTTGTGTGCTGGGGGGTGCGGGGCCAGTCAAATAAACAGGTTCTTTCCACCTCTCTCCAAGGAATTTTTTCCCGAACCGGCTGGGGGGAGGGGCCGTGTGGGTTTCGCTTTCTGGATGGGCCCTTCTCTGCAGATTCTTTAACAAATTTGCCCTAAACCAGGACATTACCCTAAGTTAAACTAATGATTCCCAGGGCTTGAAGCTCATGCCCATTCTTCCGGGATAAAATCTGGCTGACTCTGAGTTACAGCTGAGCTAACTTCCACACCACTGCTTTGCTGTGGTCCCTTGGGGCCATGTGGACCAACAGAGCCACAATGATGTCCTTGGTTCCACAATGCTCCACAGTGTCACATTGGTCCCTTGGATCCATGGTGCTCTGCAGTGCCACAATGGCCCCTTATTTCACAAGGCTCCCAAATGTCACATTGGTCTCCATAGGAAGGAAAGCACGGAGCCCCCATGTTTCAGGAGCTGATGAACGGCAACCACCAAGGCAAGCCTGACCTGTCTGTCCTGGCAGGTTCGCTTGGAGCAACCCTTGAATATTTGAAATTATGAATGCGGAGTCCTGATTTCAGACATTTGTGCCTGGAGAAGAGGAATGGGGTTTTTTCCATAAGAAGAAAAGCACAGAGTCTTTTCCGGTGTTTGGAAAATAGGTGAGTTCTGCCCCTCAGGAGTCAAAGACCAACCAGACTTGTCTGTCCAGCCAAACTTTTGTCTGGGAGCAATCCTTTGATACACAGAAATTTGGAGGTGGAATCCTAATTTTAGCCATGGATGCCTGGAAAAAATTGACAGTTCTTTTCCATAAAAAGAAAAGCCCAGAGCCCCAGTGTTTCAGGGGCAGATGGGAGTGGCCTTCCAGATTCCAAGATCAGCCAGACCTGTCAGGTGACCCCTGGGAGGCCAAGGCAGCCACACCAATTTCATGTTCCCTTGATTCCACAGGGCCCTGCAGTGTCACAATATCTCCTTGCTTCCGTGAGGCCTTGCAGTGCCACAATGGTTCTCTTACTTCCATGATGCCCTCAGGTGTTAAATTGGCCCCTTGATCACACAAGTCCTTAAGGATCTTAATGGTCTCCCTGGTTCCACAAGGCCCCACAGTGTCACAATGGTCTATTTGTTCCATGAAGCCTTGCTGTTTCCAATGCCCTCCCCAATGGTTCCACAATTTCCCATAGTGTCACAATGGCCCTTTCCTTCCATGAGGCCCCACAGTGTCACAAGGGTCTCCATGATTCCAAGGGGCCTTGCAATGCTCTCCATGGATCCACGGTGCCTTGCAGGATCACAATGGCCCTTTGGCTCCACAAGGCCCTGAAGTGCAGCAATGGCCTCTTGGCTCCACAAAGCTCTACTGCTTCACATTGGCCCCTTGGTACCATGCAGCCCAACAGAACCGCAAAGATGTCCTTGGTTCCACGAGGCCCCACAGTGTCACAGTATCACAATGGCCCCTTGGATCCATGGTACCCTGCAGAGTCACAATGTTCTCCTTGGTTCCAGAAGTTCCTACAGTGTAACAGGTTCCACAAGAGCCTGCAGTGTCACCATGGCCCATTGGTTCCACAATGCTCCCCAGTGTCACAATGGTCTCCATAGTGCTATGTTTGCCCAAATATCCCATCAAAAAAACCAAACTACATTTAAGGTAGCAACAATTTTAATTGAATAGTTTAGAAAATATATAAATAAGGGATAATTTGGTTCAAATAATAGCGCATAAGCAAAAACAACTGCGGGGTACGGAGGGCAGGGTTCTAGACCCTTGCCACTTCACGTACAAGCTTGCCAAGTGAAAGTCACCCCTTATATGCCATNCCTGCAGCCAGAGGTTCCTGTGCCAAGGGCTGGCATTGATTGTGCCCCAGGCACTTCTCAGCACCTTCCCAGCCCTGACTGATTGAAGCTCTCTGTGCCTCTGTGCTGTGCCCGGGGTGGCTGCAGGCAGTGCCCCAGCCCTGCTGGGCTGGCAGAAGAGATGCTCATCAAGAGAAATGTGCTTTTTTTTGAATCTCTTCTTGGTTACCAGGAGCTGCCTCTGTGCCAGGAGCCCAGCCCATCTAAGCAGCACAGACACAGCACAGGGACTTTAATGAGCCTCTGGGGCTTTGTGTTCAGGCCCTGAACATCAGTCTCTGAGAGGGAGCTGAAGAAACCTCTCCAGAACTCCTAGGCAGAATCCAACTTCAAAGTTTCTTGGAATTGTAATGGGTCCCACTGAGGGACATGACTGGGGAAGTGTCCCCAGGCCCCAGGCAGAGCAGAGAACTGGAGGCAGTGATGACAGGTGGGGACAAAGAGAAGCCAGGTCTTGGTGCCCTGGGGCACAGCAGAAGAGTCTGTGCCACCAAGGGCTGTGAGGAGACACCTTGTCCTGAGGCACTGGGGCCTCCTGGCACAGCCCCAGCCAGGCTGGGCACTGTCACTCCCTTGTCCTGCCCTCAGCATCCCCCCTAGCCCACATCCCAATGGCCTCAAAGATCTGCTGGAAGGAGTCCCTGGGGACCCTTGCTCAGGAATGGCTCTGGGGGCTCCTGGATGCTCCCAGGGACTGCAGGTTTTCCAAATTACTTGGGTTTACCTTTTGCCTTGGAGTCCCCGAGAGCTTTCTGAAATCATGCCCTCCAATTATCTGCTGTAATTAGTCCCTGGAGCGGCTTTGTCAGTAACAACACTCAGTGGGGCTCATTAATGCCTTGAGATACTCAAGGATTTTAAGGTACTTTATGGATTTAACAATACTTTTAGGTATTCTTAAATACCAAAAATCCAATCTTTAAGGATTTTCCTTCCCACACTGAGAGGTTTTTGTGCCATACGGGCCTCCAGTTCTCTCGTCCAAAGAGTCCAAATTTGGGTGCCAAATGTCGCAATGAGGGTGGCTGTGACAAACCTTTCTGGTTCCCCAACTTCAGGGCAAGGGTGGTAAAAATGAAAATAAGCAGATGCTGGGAAGATGAAACAGGAAAGCCTTATAAATATGATTGCCTGGCAATACATTTTTAAAATATGAAACTATAAGTGAGATTGAAATGAAACAAGCTTTGAGATACCTTAGTTACTGAACGACTGGAAAACTATGGTATGGCTGGCTGAAGGTAATCCCCTTTTGATGAAACAATACCCCCTGCTTGCAGACATGTCCATGGGTCAGAGCAGACCCTACTAGCTTGGCAGAAGGGGTCCAAAGAGTAGTTTTTAGGGTTTGAAATGTAACACAGTATGGTAATGTAATTATTCCTATAGGTCATATGTAAATGCTGTAAGATTTGTATCTTGTAATAGATTGGTTAGTGAAAATTAGAATATGCAGCACAGAAGTAGATTTATTGCATAGTAATGGGAACTCCTCTCCTCTTTCGGGCATCCATTTTGGGTGCCTCTTTTGAGGTCCTCTTTTGGGCCTGCTCCGACCTGTGGCTGGCAGCTCCAAACAAGGCCCCTGCATCCACACCCTTTGCAATAAACCACAAATTCCAAGACCTGGCTTGAGACATCTCTTGTCTCTGTCCATCCCAACTGTCCTAACCCCCGATGCTCCTACAAGCAGGATCAATGGACTTGTCCAAAAAGAACTTTAGTAACAGGGTGAAAAACAATAAACATGGAGAAGTCGAGCACAGTACAAGGGGCAGGATCCAAAGACCTGAGATAAAGGTGAAGCAACAATATACACACTTGAGGGTAGAATACTCTAGAACAATAACCACAGAGGGGAAACAAATAACCAATAGGGGAGGAGAACTTGGACAACTTAGCATAACAACACTAAAGGCATATGGGGGAACTCTCAAACTTACCTGTCCTGGGGTGACATTATGATTCTTGTATCCCCATTCACCTGTTCTGTGCCTTTAAGACCGGCTCTGAAGAGTGGAAGTTTTGTTTGGGTTTCTCTTATCAAGGGACACAGAGACAAGCGGTACATAGGGCTGTTTTTCAACTTCCAGCTTCAGCTTGCTGCTTTTGCTTGCTCTCTTTTTCTGCTCTTGCTTCTGCTCTGCTTTCGCCTCTGCTTATTAGCTAAACAGTCCACATTCCTTCCTGGACTGTTTCTCCTCTCCTGTTTCTGTGACCATCTTGAACCTGCTTCGGACTGGGACCNGGCCTCAGCCCCTGGCAAGGGCACAGCAGCAGCTGCAGCTGCCACAGGACTCAGCCCCAGCCATGGGGGAAGGTGCTTGGCCAAGGCCAAAGGAGGCTCCCTGGCTGCCCTGCTCCCCTCTGCCTGAGGTGCTGAGAGCTCTGCAGCCCCTGCTGCCATCCCATCTGCCTAGGGCAGCACAAGAGCCTCGGTCTTGGGCCCTCAAGAGCTGCTCCTGCTCCAGGCCCAGGGCCCATCCCAAAGCGGGGGCAGCCACAAAACTGAGCCAATTTCTGCTCATTGCTGCTCTACTGGTGATAGTAGAATAAGACAAAAATATTGTTGCAAGTTCATTTATTTCAAATAAATACAATGTGAAAATCCTCATTTACATGAAGTTTCTGGGTCAAAAAAAGGGGGATAATTTTAAATTGGAGATAATGAATACCATCTGTGCTTTGATGACAACAGCATCAGAATTGGAAGAAATATAAATAAGGAGAGACTTGGCCTCTCACGATGTACAACAGAAGTCAATAACAGAAGCAAGTACGCAGAGTGTGGTAGCTGAAAAGCATCAAGACAGAAGTCTCCTTAGAGCTTTCTTGAGCTCCTGGTTCCTCAGGCTGTAGATGAGGGCGTTCAGGGCTGGAGGCACCACCGAGTACAGAACTGACAGGGCCAGATCCAGGGATGGGGAGGAGATGGATGGGGGCTTCACGTAGGCAAATATGCCAGTGCTGACAAACAGGGAGACCACGGCCAGATGAGGGAGGCAGGTGGAAAAGGCTTTGTGCTGTCCCTGCTCAGAGGGGATCCTCAGCACAGCCCTGAAGATCTGCACATAGGAGAAAACAATGAACACAAAACAGCCAAAACCTAAACAGGCAATAACTACGATGAGCCCAAATTCCCTGAGGTGGGATTTGGAGCAGGAGAGCTTGAGGATCTGTGGGATTTCACAGAAGAACTGGCCCAGGTTATTGCCACGGCACAGGGGCAGGGAAAATGTATTGGCTGTGTGGATCAGCGAAAAGAGAAAGGCACTGGCCCAGGCAGCTGCTGCCATGTGGGCACAAGCTCTGCTGCCCAGGAGGGTTCCGTAGTGCAGAGGTTTGCAGATGGACACGTAGCGGTCGTAGCACATGACGGTCAGGAGGAAATACTCTGCTGACAGGAAGAACATAAAGAAAAAGAGCTGTGTGGCACATCCAGTGTAGGAGATGTTCCTGGTGTCCCAGAGGGAATTGTGCATGGCTTTGGGGACAGTGGTTCAGATGGAGCCCAGGTCGCTGAGGGCCAGGTTGAGCAGGAAGAAGAACATGGGCGTGTGCAGGTGGTGGCCGCAGGCTATGGCGCTGATGATGAGGCCATTGCCCAGGAGGGCAGCCAGGGAGATGCCCAGTGTGGTGGTTTGACCAGGAAGGAGTGGGAATTCTGGGAAGCTGTGGTCAAACCAATGAAGGTTTTGGGTTTGAGACTGGCACCTGGTGTAGCCAGTGGGGTTTGGACACACCTCCGAGAATACACAGGGGTTAAAANGGGCTGCCTCATTCTTCCTTTAGTTTTGCCTTCAAATGCCATTGCCCTTTCTGCCTCAAGTAGAAATACCACAGCTGTGTCATAACCAGCCAGTGGGTCATATTCCAAAGGCAGTGTGGTCTGGAGAAGATGAATGAAAAGAGCCCTCCTCACTTATGAAATCATACAAAAGAAGACATATGTGTGACTTAGCACCAATAAAAAACAACTGATAATTCAGAAGGAAATGTTGAATTTTCTGAAGGGGTCAGAAGGAGGAGAATCTTCCAAATTAGTTGATGTTTCAGAAACTTTAATTAATTACAACCCTAATCTATAATCCTATGCTACAAATCTCTTCAACAACCCTACTCTACAATCCTACTCTAAATTGGTAACAGAGATAACATCTTGACATGATTGTTACGTTCTCATCCCCTAGGGTTAGGGTTAGGGTTTGGCTTAGGCTTAGGCTTAGGTTTAGGCTTAGGCTTAGGGTTGGGGTTAGGGTAAGGGCTAGGGATAGGGTAAGGGTTAGAGATAGGGACAGGGTTAGGGTTTGGCTTAGCATTTAAGTTTAGGGTTAGGTATTAGGGTTAGGGTTTAGGGTTAGGGTTATTCTTCTTCTTCACTGAATTGATGAGTTGTGCCAGGATGAATGCTGGCTTAGCTGAAGTTACAAATGGATGCTGTCCACCGGAAAAAAAAATGCAATAAAGAACAGTGAACCATTACTTTCCGAGTTCAGTGCTTCAGAGACTCAATCAGGATACATCAAGTTCCTAGAAAGACCCAGAAAGAGGAGCAATGGGACCATGTGCTCCCCAGTCATCCCCAATGAGCAAGACTTTGCCATCATGGGCAAATGTGGCCCAGAATCCCACTTATCTGTTTATTGTGATGTCTTCATCACGCTGGGATTTTTGCCCTGCCAGTGCTCTAGAAATGGTGCTTTCTGTCCCTGGGTTATCTTCCTTTCAGGAAACCCCAATGGCTCACACAGGTCCCTGCCTTTGAAAGACACTGTGCTAATTCCCACAAGGACAGAAAGCAGAGTCTACCATTCCATGCCCATGTCCTCGTGTGCTGGATGGCACCTTCCTTCCCAGCAGGGCCAGCCCAGTGACACTGGGCCCTGCAGTTCCCTCTCTGCCACACAACCTGGCAGTAACCCTGGCACAGTTCCCGTCTGCTTGAGCGTGCCAGGCAGCAGATGGGGCTGGGACAAGTCCCTCCCAGCTGTCCCTGTTTGTGTGGCAGAAATCTCTAAGGGTGGGCTGGGGGGCACAAACCAGGGCCCCTCAGAGGCTCACAGTGAGCCCCCACAGCCCCTCCTGCCCACAGCCAAATCTCTGACTGCTCAGCTGGGACTGGCTTCCTTGGGTTCTTCCACCACCATTTCATGTCTCTGTACCCCGCATTGCTCTACTTCAATTCTTTTGCCATTAGATAAAACTGAACACCCCACCAAATCACAAAAGAGGGCAACTGTTGTAGAATTTTGCTCAGACATGGCTTGAAGGAAAAAAAGGCCATGAGGATATACAGCTGATGGAGAAGTAAAAGGCAGCTGTGAGGAGCAAATTCTCAGAGCCTGTTTCTGTAAATAACTAGGTTCTCAGGCACATTTCTATAAACAGCAGGGTTCTCAGGCAGTTTTCTCATAACCGGCGAACATTCTATCTTTGTCTGTTTTGGGAAAGTAAATGTGAGTTTTGAGAACCACTCATATCACGGTGAGAACACAGATCTTTGTTTCAATAAACAAACCACAGGTATTGAAAACAAAAGGAGGGGTTAGAGTTTGCTCTATAACCTATGATGAGCTCGGATTTTGCAATATGTATGAGTTTAATTAACACTGTTATAAAAAGTGAATGGTTGAATCAATAAAACGGAGCTCGATGCTGATCAATGAAGATGGGTTGTCTCCCTTCACTTCAATAGGCAACAGAAACAGTCAGAGGACAGAGCACCTCTCCTCTCAGGAAATGCGGAGAGAGGTGGAGTTATTCCATTTTGTGAAGAACAGGCCCCAGGGAGACTTTATTGCCACTTTCCAAGACTTCAGAGTGGCTTTGAAGAATGTGGAAGACATCTTTTTTAACAGGGCCAGTTACAATAGGATATGGACAAATATTTTTAAACAGAAAGGGCATCTAATCAGAGTAGGTCTATAAGGAAGAACTTGTTTACTCGGAGCATGGTGCCACCGTATCACAGCTTGCCCCAAGAGCTTGTAGGTGCCCCATCCCTGCAACCATTTCGGCTCCGGTGGCAAAGGGCTCTGAGCAACCTGATCTCTTTAAAGATGTCCCTGCTCATTGCAGGACACTTGCACCAGAGGACCTTTACAGGGCCCTGCCAGACCAGCCCAGTCTAGGATTCCTCACCATTTTCATTTGAAGAGCACCAAGAGTGGAGATGAGGAGGAAGGGGGCTCATCTGATGCCTTGGACTTGAGTGGAGGAGGAGCCCATCCCTCAGAGCCTGTTTCACCTGCAGCCCCTTCACATTTTACCTGCAGGAGCTCCTTGGCAGACCAGCGCTGCTCCTCGTCTCTCTGCAGGCAGCAGTTCAGGAAGTCACACAGCAAAGCTGAGAGGAGCTTGGGCTGCCACAGCTTTGAGGTCCCCATTGTGGCTATCAGGTGTTGAGCCTGGAAAAAAAAAAAACCACAAGGCTCCACCCACTGCTTTCACATCTCTAAGTGCTCTCCCAGATCCCTTTGTTTAACCTCTGCTCTGCAGTGGCAGTTTCTACCCTGGCAGACACCCAGAGATGACTTTACCAACAAAAACCCAAACCCCGATGCAACCACAGCTTTTCCACCATCCCACAGATCTTGCCTCGGCAGCTGATTTCATTGACTGACCTAGTTAGTGGGAACTACATCACCTCAAGCACATTTGCTTCTCTGAGGATTCACACCAGCTTGAGAGGCTTTTTGGAAGAGGGACTTTGCAATACAAATTTCAAGGATTAGTACAGGAAAGGCATCTCTGCAGTGCTTGTTGGTCCTTTAAGCACAGCTGCCATAGAACAAAACTCATCAAGCTTTTTGTGCTGTTCTTGAAAACAATGGGAATTACAAGGAAAGAAAGGAAATCCATCAGTTAATCCCCAGGTAAGGAAACAAACATTTACAATCTCATCTTCAATACAGACACATTAAGATGCCTGCACAAATGTATTGGGATGAAAATGCCTGCTTGGGCACACAGGAGACACCCGCAGCTCTGTCTCAGCAGTCTGAAAATTTCAGCTTCCCATTTTTCAGCAAAAGAGAAATTTTCATGGTCAGAAGAAGGAGAGGTGCCATCCCTATGGTCACCCTCTGCTCATTTGGCTACTCAAGTCAATGCATTAGTGGTAGACCCATCCCAGAAAGTGTCAGGAAACAAATGGGAGGTTTTGGCAGGCTCCAAATCACCAGGCTTCGGCTTGGTGACACAGAGAACGTTCCTTGGGCTAGGAGAGAAACACGGTCACTAAATGCAGTGCAGCAGCACTGCACAAGAAGCAGAAGAGACTCTGTGGCCTTTACACCCTCATGCCCAGGTTTCAGGCATGTTTCCCAGTGAGAAGCAACTGCACAGTGGGTTAGGTTCCTCTCTAAAGACCCCAGTTTTAGAAACTTTGTTGGGTTTGGGTTACATTCCTTCATTTATGGAAAGATAACAGAAGTTCTAAGATGCTTGTTTCCTGTTACTGGGGCCATCTCCACAGACAAAAGAACTGGAACCCCTTATAACCCAAAGGAAGGTGTTCCTAAGAATGGAGTTTGTTTGCATGTGGTAAGGCTTGAGTTACCCACCGATGCAAGCAAAACAAGAGCAGATGCTGATGTGTTGCAGGGATATTTGTAGGAGGGGACGTTGGTGGAAGTAGTTCCAGCAGATGGCAATGGGATTTTGTCCAACGGCACACAGGACAGGGGACAGGTGAGAAAGACAGTGGGATCAGTGAGTATTTGCTCCTTACCGTGCCAGAACTTTTGCTCAAGTAAGGAGGTTCTTGTTCTATCATTTCAGTCCCCACAATTCCAAAAGACCATATGTCCACTTTGGGGCCATATGGTTGACCTGTCACCACTTCAGGCGCCATCCACCAAGGAGTCCCGACTAGCGAGCACCGTCTGCTCTGCTCAGAGTTGAGCTGAGTAGAGAGGCCAAAATCAGCTGAGGAGAAAACAAAATACTGGTTTTATCTGAATTCTGTGCAATTAGGAAAGCAAGCAAAAGAATTTCCCAGTAGAAGTTTGAAAATGTGCTGTTGAATCTCCTGGCATTGGCGACTTAAAAAGTCCCCCCATTTTTTACACGGCCTCTAGCAGTGGCTTTTGTTCTTTGGAAACTTTAGACTTGTAACTCCCTCCCTCTGGAAGGGACACACAGAGCAAGGCCACTCTTGACTGCTTGTGGCTCTTTCTATCTCTGTGCACGTTGCAACTGTGCCCTCAGCTCGCAGCAGGGGTCCCTGCACTGCCACCAGCACCATTTTTGGGGAGCTGGCTGTCCCTCCAAGCAGCCCCACACCCACATCCCTGGAATGCTGCACCTGACCAAGAATATACTGACCCAGCTTGACAGAACTGTCAGTTCTGAGAAGGATGTTGCGGCTCTTCACATCTTAATGGATCACATAGTTTGAATGAAGAAAATCCAGTCCTTGCAGGCACTGAGAGAGAAAAGAGAAAGTGGTGGGCAAAAATGAGTGATGTGATTTCATCACACAAGAAAGGAAACAAAGAATCTATAAGATTCCCTCTCTGGGGGAATGGGGAATAATGGCAGAGCAGTAATGGCCACTGAGAGAAAGGGCTTGCTGTTCCAACACCTACAGAGCAGGACCTTTCTGAGGAAAGGCATGTCAACTTTTGAAAGAGCAACAGCACCTGCTGTTGTAGGCTGTCCCCTGCAAACCAGCCAGGATGATTCCTGCTGCAGTGCATGTGCTCAGAAGCAAAGAGCATTCTGGCTGCACTCCTATCCTTTTTAGCTGAGGACTGAGAGAAATGGGTCTCTCTCTCTTTTCTTTGCTGACCATTTCAAATCCTGCCACGAGCACCTTTGCTTTTACAGGCAAGGAATGCAGTGAAGACAGACTCCAGGCAAACATTTAGAGAGGCAAGGTAGAGAACAGCAAATACAAATACAAGAGGGAGAGCAAGAATTCAACAGCAGGAGATAAGTGTACTGGCACTGAGTACAGGGAGTGCAGGGGCACTGGCAGGCCTTTCACTTGAGATGCTTTTAGTTGCCCATAGCATACCAGCAACACAGAAACAAAGCTTGGCCCAGGAAATCACTCCAGCTTTGAGCCCCTGTTTCCCAGACAATGCTGCCCAAGCCCTTGGAAACACAGCTGGGATTGCTGACCTCCCGACAGATGGCTGCCATCTCATCTTCAGACAGGCAGGTCTGGCTGATGACATCGCTCAGGATGCCTCCATCCATGTACTCCCTAAGCAGCAAGAGTTCCTTGCTCAGAAGGTAGCTGAAAGAAGGAAACGAGGGCATGGAGATGCACATGCATGGCTACGTTGAATTTTTGCTTCCAGGTTTCTTATTTCCAGATGCCTTTGTGACAAGGACAGAATCAAAGGAATAGATATTCCCTCTTGGCTGTGCATTGTTTGCAATCTGTGCAGTCTCAAAGAGAAAGACAGGTGAAAAGAGAAAGACATCTGTGAAAAAGGAGATGTCTTAGATGGGCAGCAAATGAAAAGTGCAGTTTAGAAACAGCCCAGATATAAAGTCTGTCAGGCATGGTGTTTCTGGAAATAAGTACCTAGTCTTCCTGGCATGCATAGCAATGGCAAAGAGGGGCAACAATCCAAGGGAAATCCACTTTAGGATGGTTCATCAGCACTTAAGGAACTTTAAAAAATCAATCCCAAATAAATGTGGAGGCAGTGAACTTCCAGGTTATTGAGTTAGGAAGTTACAGCAGATTCAGGTTTTGAATAATTTTGGAATAATTATCAAAGTAGGCGTGCCAGGGAAGACTCATGCAGACAAGATGCACTCTTTTCTCATCCATTGGAGATGAGTAGAGAAATATGAATAAATAAAAATTAACAGCTCTACTTTCTGCCACTGACCAAAGTGGGTTTTTAAACTCTTATGTTTGCTGTATGTAAACACACATCCATGGGATAAGACCATGACCTCTCACCTGTCTAAATAACTCACAACACTGGGACTCCTATACCTCTTCATGATCATTATTTCATTAAAGGTTAGCTCCTTCCTCCTCAGTCCTTGAAGATTTATTTTTTTATTGCCACCGAAAACGACATTGAAAATGAGTAACTTGAGCGGTTGGTGGCACGAGACTACAAGGCAGTGGAGAGAGTGATTTTTGCAATGACACAGCTGAGATGTGCAAAACTGCCTTGTGATTAGGATTACTGCAGTAATTAGGAACTGACATTCCAACAGCCCATTTCTCTGCTCCCTTGGGAGCCAGTTACAGGACATGTGGGGCCACTGACATTTTGCCTTGTCCACTTGGTAACAGTGATGTCTCAACTATCACCCACAAACCTCTGACCACACTCTCTGCTGCTTTGTTTGGGACTCAGAAGAAGTAATCAATGCCTTAATACTCTGTTGATTCATCTTGTGATATGGGCAGGGCTTAGGGCTTTCAGGGACGCCTTGCAGATCTCTCCCTATGTGCAGTTCCCAAGTGCAGCACTGCAGGAGGCTAAGGAACTTTCAGATAACTTACCAGTAACTTTCAGATACCTTACCAGTAACTTTCAGATAGATTTGCTGGCAGCCAGAAATGAGAATTCAGGACTCTGAAGCTGTAGCCCCAAAAAGCAGTGAGGTGCTCGAAGGCACCACCTTTGTTTTAGCAATTGAGAGCGAGTGAGCACGTCCTTCTCTGAAAGGAACTGCTGCCCTCCGTGCCTTCCTTCTGGCAGCTCAAGAGGACAAAGTCCCAAATGTGTTTTGTGGGCTGGCACCAGTCTGTGCTTCTTGTGCCTTTTCAGCACAGCTCTGCCCAAAGCTCCAGCCACCGCTCTCACCAGAGGGGAAAGCCCTCGAGTGCAGCAGAGCCTGCAGGGGCTGTTGACATTTACCTCTCCTCCTGTGGCAGTGTCCAATGCTCTATAAACATCTCCAAAACTCCTAGAAACAAAACAGAACCAGAGAAAGGAGAAGCCATTTAGATCTTGCAGTGAAAGCCAGCCCACACAAGAGATCTCTGCTGGAAGTGTCAAAACCTGCGGGATGCAGGAGAGCTCTGCCAGAAGGCAGATGATGCATTTTTCTCTCAAGTGCATGGGCACTGGGCCTGTTCGTAAAGCACTGGGGTTCAACTTCTAAAGGGAGTTTAGTCTTTCCTCTTGGGTTTCTCTGTCTAAACGTTGTGGTTCCTATCCTGACCACAGAGTGTTTCCTTCTTCAAACCAGGGGAAATAATTGTTCCTGGGAACTGCTATCTCACAGCTTTGATAGGGCGTAGGTTGCTCTTTCAGGCAAACAAGTTTCTTCTTTTTTCATTAGTGTGCCAGTATGATTTTGAGACATACAAAAAATGCTAAAGAAATTAACACAGAGCTGCCCCACCCTTGAGAGACAAGGAGACCTTCCAGGTCCCATTCCTTGATGCAGGCAAGACTTTGGTAGCAAGGAGTATCTCTGACAATGCCTTCTGAGCCCACTCACAAATTCTGAGCAGCATTGAGAGATGGGACAATCTATCCCCAGTGTGTGAACATCTTTGCAGCTGGCCTGACTTCACGCTGGATAGACATTCCACCCGAAAAACACCTGGCTCATGGTTGTGCAGGAGTAACTGCTGTTGGACTCACCCGCTGCCAATATATTTCAGATGTGTGTATTTCATCAGGGGATTTTCAGTGGGGTTCACCATTCTCCCTGAGGAAAACAAAATGCAAGATGCTGACTTTAAAGCAGAGATCCCAGCTTCCAGGAGATACAAAAGGCAGCCCCAGTGCCTGGAGCTCTGAGCCCTTTGTGGTCAGCTGGGTAACAACGACCACAAGCAGGCAGACAGCTCTGCAGCACAAGTGGCCAGCACAGAGACTGATTTTGTACAGACCTTTGAAGAGTTCTCTTGACAGGAAACAAAGACATCCAGGGATGTGCAATCCCAGGAGAGAAGGACATCTTCCCCACCTTTCAGCAGTTTGCCAAAGGAATGCCTTCCCATTTGTAAACCAGAGCAGCTCAAGCTATAACTAATCCTGATGGGGCTTTCAGCATCAGTACCCTGACCTGTTTATGAGCAGGCTGAGCTCAAAGATGCCCCTCTCCCAGCTAAGGAAGGCTCCAGCCTCTGCAGTCCCTCCAGCCCTCAGGGACAGGGCAGCTGGCACAACAAGGCTGGCAAAGCCCAAACATGAGCACTGACAGTCACTGATGGGAAGAAGCCAGAGCCAGCCTGAGCCCCGGACAAGCTGTTGGCCCCATTCAGGGCACAACAGGATGGGCTTTGAGATCAGCCACACCGAGGTGCATATCAGTGCCTTTTTTGTCCCAACAGGTGATGGTAGACACAGAATCCACTGGGCTCTGGTCTCAGCCCTGTCACAGACTGTCACAGACATTCTTTCATAAAAATCCTTTCTTTTTGGAGTTTTCCTCTTCTGGGAAGCTGAGGCCCCAGAAAGAGAATGTAAAGAATAATTATCTGCTGATGTGGAATGCAATAGGTGCACCTGTGATTGGCTCATGTTCCATGTGTACAATTAAGGGCCAATCACAGGACCAAGCTCGGGGACAGATTCACAGAGAGCTCTCTTGTTTTTAGATTCTTATTCTATTCTTAGCTTAGCAGCTTCTGAACTTTTCTCTTTATTCCTTTTAGTATAGTCATAATGTATTATATATCATAAAATAATAAATCCAGCCTTCTGATCATGAGACCAAGATTCTCGTCTATCTCTCTCACCCTGAGGAACCCTTGCAAAGCCATGTAACATTTGGTGGACCCCTCGTGTAAGGACAAATATTAATTTGATAAGACCAGAGGAGCAAATTGCTGCAGTGGGTAAAATCCTGTATGTGTAGCATTTGATGCTTGCTTTAGAAGTGACCACAAAAGTGGATTCAAGCCAGGAGCTGAAGAACTGAAGATTCTGATTTGGACAGAGTTCACAGCCAAGGCTGACCAGCAGTGAACCTGAAACCCCCCCAGGAAGATGTTTGAAAAGAGCAGCAGAACCGTGGAGCTGGCCAGAGCTTGCTGGACTCTTTCAAAAGGTACTGTTGGCTTTTCCCTTTCTGATGAACCAGACTTTCATAGTTTGTGGCTGTTCATATGGGGAATGTCCCCTCTGGACGATGAGGTTCATTTCTCTGCTTCAGAGGAGAAACTTATTGCCCTCTGGCAAAAATGGGGTGAAGAGGATGGACTTTTCCTGTCAGAAACAGATCTCTATGAGTTGTTTCAATGGGAAAAGCTTTTTGGATTCTTTACTGATTTGCTATTTGCCTTGGATGTTTTCGTATGGGAGTGCATGGGCTCCTTTTTCTGATTCGTTTGGGGTCAGGGGTGCAGATTCTCTCCCGTCTACCCAGCATTTAAGAAAGCTCTTTCCAGTTTTAAAGCGGAGAGCAGCTGTTTTTTCCTGGATTGCTAATTGCACAGGGCAAGTTCCGTTTCCCCCGTTCCCAGCGGGAGAAGACCTTTTGGAGGGGGATGAGATGCTGCTTCCCACCCCCCCTGCCCCCCGGAGGGGGGGGTGAAACTACGCCATGAGAAGAAGAATTTTTTTTTACTCTTTCTCTGGAGCGTGCGCAGATGGAGCGGTCTCTTGGCCCCCTTCTCTCTCTCCGGGGGGATGGGAGT